TTTTTTCTCAACCTTCCTGAGGAAGAATAGTCTACTATTTGAAAGCACTCAAGTTTCTGGGTCCATTTTGAAAATCATTGCACATTTTGTGTAATATCTTGTGTGCTGACCTTTCATCGGAATTGCTTCTCCACTAGATAGGGGTAAATAATGAATGGATGAAAGTATACTGTGTTATTGAATGCCACATGATTTGAAGGTAAATTCACAAACCAAAAACTTTTGCTGTTATACAGAAATATTTTTACTCATTATGCAACACTGCAACTTGCCTTTGGATGTTACAAAAAAGGAGTAAACAGAAAATTGGAAGAATATTAATTAAGCAGAAGAATCTAAAGTAAAAGAAGTTTGAAAACAAAATGCAAAACCAGAGTACCAGAACTTATTTTTTAAAGCAGTACTAGTACCTGGGCTTATATGAGCTGCTTTGCTGTTTTTTATGTTTACAATTAGATTTTATTTTTCAAAAACAGGTCCACTTCACTCAGCTAAATGCTTCTTGTTTTTCAGAATTTCACCCCTGTATGACATGATTAAGATGATCAAACTTCAACAATGAAACAACCCGGTGAAGATGCAGAATATATGTTCGATTTCACTATTTTCAATTCATAACTAACCTGTGAATCATTAAGTTTTCTAGCTTTAAGTTTAACACTGTTAATAACGGATTTTAAAACTTTACGTAAGTTTAACTAAATTTAGCTTTAACAGTAACAGTTTATTTAAAGTTTAACTTTTAAGTCTAACTTCAAACCAGTAAAGTTACATATGTTTATAAAAGTGACTTGCAAGAATACATTTCATGATATAAAAAATCATTTATAAGTTAAATAACAGACTAATTTGCCAAATTTATTATTCATACTTTGGAAATTGGGAATCTCTGCCGTGACGACAATAACCATGCACCCACCATGTGCGACGCCATCTTAATATAATCCTCATTTATATTTTCGCTTATTGATAAAAGTTTCGTACTTGTAATATTTTCGTCGTTATTTACCTTATTAATTAAGTAATATAATTTTGGCTATATTTGACTTATTTATTACTAGTGATTTTGTATTGCTAGTTTTCTAAATTTTTTGACAAAAATATTTCGAAAGTAACATAAATGTGGATAAACGTGACAAGCAGATTTTGGAGTCGATCTTGTGCTCGTTCTGTGAAATTAAACAAGTGTTAGCGTTCGAGTGTTTGATTTCTGTGACAGAAAGTCTGTTCTAAGTTACGACGTTAACTTAAGAGGCTTGAAAGAAAGAATTTGGCAAAGTTATGGTGAGTATCTTTCCTTTAAAAGCGAGAAAAACGTTATTGTTTTTTATTTCGTACTTACTTTCTTAAAAAGTGATATTGAGTTTAGAAGTAAGATTTGAATTATCAAAAAAGTACTTTCATTATAAACATTTACTTAACCTAGGTAGTTACTATTAATATTATACTAAGTTAGGCGTAGCACTAGCATAGTCGAGTAACATAGTATTACTATTACTAGTACATCAATAGCAGTGGCACTGGTAGTGGTAATGGTAATAACAATACTTATATAACAGTCATAGGAACCAGTGAAAACTTACTGAATATTGCTACTGGAATCGTCAGTTAATATGAATTAGAATGTAACTGTAATGTTTGTTTTGTTTTTATATTATCTAACCCCATAATTGAATGTCATACATCTCTGCATAGGTTAGCTTATATTATTATATAACAAGCAAATTTATACAAAGCTACTCAGTCTATTGGGATCACCTTTAACAATTTTTTACCAGTTGTTTTCACTCGGAAATTCACCAAAACTTGGAGATGGATAAATCTACGTTTTGCAAGTGAATAACAAAAAGTTTACCAAAATCATTAATCATGTAATGCATCAATACATGCATACTTCAAGAACTATTTCATGCTTACTTATTAAGAGACAGAAATTTAGAATAACTTATGAACCCATATCTTTCTGTGCTGTTATGAATGAATGGTACTTTTTTATCTTGTGTTAAGCAGAAGGAGGCTGGTGATAAAAATGAGTACACGACTTGTGATATTGAATAAAATACAAATCTGAGCGTGACACTAATAGAAAGGTGTTTTTCAGTAAAAAACTTGTAATTATGTGGCAGAATATATATATAAGTGGATGCATGTCAGAAAGGCTTCTATTCCTCATTTGTTTTGTGACTAGTGCTGGAGTTTTGCTTGATTTGATCTCCTATCCAAATTTTATTCTACTTGATACTATTATGTTTCCAGTACTATTCATTCAATCTTTTGACCTTTTAGTAGGGCTTCAGCAGTGATACAGGAACAAAGATGATGATTGCCTAAAAAAAATATTACAAAGTTTAAAGCTTTGATGGATATTCAAAATGATTTTATTAGAGGAAAATCTTGCCTTAGTAATCTTTTGATATTCTTTGAAGAGTTTACTGTTTATGTAGATGAAGGTAAGGATGTAAATTTAGTGTATCTGGATTTTCAGAAAGCATCTTACACTTTTAACACTCAAAAGGCTTGATAAAAAAATTATCTATATTGTGTGTTGTTAAGTTGACTAATTGTATCAAAAACAGCTAATTGTAAGAAAGCAAAGGATTGTAGGTTAATGTCACAAGTGAGGTACCTCATTGTTAGGACCTTTGTTTTTTTTACATCAGTAATATACATAATAGAATGGTCAATAAATTGCATAAACTTGCTGGTCATATTAAGGTCTTGGGTGTTGTTGGCTGTGATGAGAATGCTGCAAAAGGATTTAAATCATGTAGTGAGTTGGGCAAGTAAATGGCAGGTGGCTTATAATTATAATAAATGTAAGGTAATGCATGAGGAGTATCATAATTTAAAGTATAAGTATAATTTTTATGAGAACAGCCTTAACATTATTATTGAAGTAGAGGATCTTACTGTCTTGGTTGATCAATCTCTTCAGCCATCCAAGCAGTGTGCTGTTGTTAGTGGTGAGGCAGATTGGATTTAAGGTTTTATTTACAGAAATATTGAATACAAGTCTAAAGAGTTTATAACTTCATTGTATAGGCTACTGGTTAGGCCACATTTGGAGTGTTGTGTTCATTGTTGGGCTTCTTTCCTTAGAAGGGATTTTGAATTATTGTAAAGGGTTCAAAGGAAGGCTAGGATGATATGGGATAATTATAACTTCATTGTATAGGCTACTGGTTAGGCCACTTTTGGAGTGTTGTGTTCATTGTTGGGCTTCTTTCCTTAGAAGGGATATTGAATTATTGTAAAGGGTTTAAAGGAAAGCTAGGATAATATGGGATGAAAAGGTTATCATACAAAGACAGGTTAAGATTGCTGAAATTGTTAGAGGGAATCTGATTGAGGTGTTTAACCCTTTCAAGACGGGTCACATGTGAAAGGCCATGTCATCTCGTT